TCAGGAGATGAGCTTTACTTCGGTCTTTACACCAAATTTCGGGCCTTCTGGTGTTTCTCTCCTCTCCATTATGGTAGGCTACTCATTTGCCAATGCTTAGAACCCTTGAAGCAAGGAATGAAGCTGGTCTGCTTTTTCCCCTTGTATTATCGAAAATTGTTAGATTTTACACGGAAAAACAGATGAAATTCTCGGGAGCGTTCAGAGGCCGCACAGGGGTCGATCTGGCCTCTGCAGAGAAAGGCCTTTTACCAGTACTTCAGAGAGGGGTCTTTCGGTTTCGGGACCGATACTTTTTTGCAAGGTTCTTAGCGTCGACGTAAATGACCTCGCGTGATAATGATCGATGATCTTCGTGATAGACCAATTGGAGCACAGAGATAACTGAGCATTCTTAAGCGACCTAGTTTGCGCTGACGTCGGGAACCTTGCAAAAAAGCTTCCCGAGACCAAAAGACCCCTTAGGTTTTTCGTAAAATGTGGCTATCTGCAGAATCCAACCTGACGTATGTATGATCTCTGGGCGCTCCCGAGGGTTCTACCATATTTGTAGTCCCCGTGTTGTTCAACTCGTAATATACGATTATTGCCTACATTTCTGTCTGCGATCTGTGTGCGCGTCTCCACCGACGGTCGCCAGAGGCAATGACGAAAACATCCGGATCAGCGTCATAGCACAAACTTGTGTAAGCCTGCACAGTAGAATGGCGCCCGACAGCATCACTCGGGAGCATTCCTGCTGAATTTCCAACGCGTCCAAGTTGTTATCGCGAAATAATGATATCACGAAATGAAAATCACGAAATGACCTTTGCTACAGACCTTTGCTACAGACCTACACTACAGACCTTTGCATTTGCCAGTAGATTGGTTTGTTATTTTAGGGTCATTATGTATGGCTTCGCCGTCGATTCCTCAAAGCTGACACACGAGTTCACGACACAGTTCATCTCACACAAGATGACCAAAAGGCATCCAGTGGAAAATGTGGGCGATATCAGTATACTCTGCACTCATCGCGCATCTCTGACGGAAGCCTAGCCGGCGTGCGCTTCGTGATCGCGTCAAGGGGAGACCAGTCTCTTGACGCGGTCCTCAGCGCATGCAAGCCGCATAATGATGCAGCGAGTCAAAACAGAACATCAACGTCATGCACGCACGTGCTTCAGAGCAGCGCGATTATTATTCCAAGTGCCGCGCAAGCTCAGAACCTTCGTCCGTGATGGCGTTGAGCGCGCACTACCAACACTCATCCGCAGCTTACCAGCGCCGGCGGCGACGGAGGCGGCGGGCTGGCCGATCAGGACACCGACGTCAGAGTGAGGGAGGGGGGGGGGCGGCTGAGTCACGGGTCGTGACCCGGCGGCCCGTCAGGTGTGCGCCGGCAGTGGCTGATGTCATCCGTCGGCTATGTGACCTTGCAGGAGGCTCGCGCAGGTCCGCACCTCTGACCGCTGCGTGATTTAGGAGACGTCGGGAGCATCGTCGGCGGGTCCGTGGCTCCTCCGCAGTGTGTGTTTCAATCCTCACAATCTGCTGCGGTATGTCTCTGGGAATGCGTGGTAGGGAAGACCGGGCCGAGTTGTTGAACAGATGAGTTGTTGCAATGTCGTCCATTCGTGTCAAGACCGTGACCATGCTTTGTGCAGCATCCTAACAGATGCTCCGTTCGAGTCGTGGGCTTGTGTTGCTGCCACTTTGCTTGTTGGTCAAAAACAAGTTGAGACGACGCATCTGAAAAATTCGGCGTCACTTCGATTGTTTGGCCCTCGCTTTCGTCACTTTCCATAAACCCCAGCGCTAGGGCTGGCACCGCCTGCACTGCTGTCTGATGTGACGACATATGCTCCCTTAGTGTACTGTGGACTGATAAATGCTTACATATCAAGCTAAATGCGGGTTATACACATTTAAATCTAGGATGTTTGCAGCCACCAGTTGCATATTTACCCTCAGGTTTTTATGTCGAATATAAGTGTTTGAATGCGAAATCATTGACAGCGGCCTTTAATACAAGCTCTGTCTCGTCACGCACAAAAACCACGTGGTAAACAAATAACTGAGCACGAGCAGCCGCCTCAAGAAGTGTGACTTTGGACGAGACAGCTGATCGTCGGACAGAACCAACAAGCTGCAGGCGGACGAGAAAAAAAAATGGTGTCAATGGAACGCGAAACGTCGACTCCCAAATTACACGGCACCCACGGCATATCTCACCGGGGTTGTAAAATATATGGTCGTTGTATGCAATAATCTATCACGTTTAAAACAAGCCAGTGCGTTTCAAACAGGTGAAGTATGCTTGATATGCGCACGATCAAGATGCCAAGCGTGAGCAAGCGCGTCGCAAATACTGTCACAGCCGCGTTCCGTTATGACCACGTCAGTATGCCTGACGTTCTTTGATGCCCGCACCGTGGCACAGGTGACGGCAACAGCAGTCCCTCGGCCGCAGCGGCGGTCTCGGAATGTCGGCACCCCACCGTGCTGGGATGCATTCCTACGCGGATATTTGCGCTGGTCTGCTGCCCATGAGGCCCAGACTGCGTCAATAGGATCTGTTGAAGGTCCTGCCGGCAAAATACAAATGTCATTGCGTATTTTGCAGGCAATCGATGCGATGTGCATACGACATGCAAGCAATGCATGCTTCTCAAGCCTACGAGAGGATGCTCTTCAAATTAGACGCTTTCTGTTAGATGAGGTACTTCCTTGAAGAAAATCGGTGACATCGGCTATAAGATTGATTGAGGTTTGGGCGGCTGCAACATACGAATCTGGTAACTTCATGAACGGCCCGTGCCGTTCCGTTCAGTGCCCAAGTTCAGTGCCCAGTGCCGATCTGTTCAGTGCCCTTCTGCCACGCTGTAAGCTGTGCATTGTTGATGCATGAACCACGCGCATTTTTTACCCACCTTTTGTCCTGACATTCGTGGCTATGTATCTATTGATTCTTTAAGACATACGCAGCAGCAGATAACCCTTTGCTGCGCGGGTAGCTCCTCTGCGCGTGCCACGCCAGCCCGCGCTCCTCGCGGTGTCAGGAGTGCGGGCGTGACCTTGCCGCCACTTCCTCCGCGGTGGAACCTATCAGACGACAATCGATGCATCGAGCTCACCCGCCCCGAGGACCTCGTCCCTTTGACTGCGCACAAAGGTGCCAGGAAGGGACACAAGCGACGACGCGGCGCACTGTGTCACGACAAAACGCTCCTGAGAGCGGGAGGCCAGCGTGATGTTGGGGTCGGGGAGCCTCCAGACAAGCACCTGGCGTAATGAGCCGCGTCGTCGTTCGGCGGCTTGTTTGAGCTGCAGGTCGTTTGTTTGACCGGCGGTGGAGTGTGGCGTGGGCCTCCGGCTGTGTTTATAGACGGTTCCGACGCCTTGACACCACAAGGCCGTCTCGGTTTTGTTCTTGTGGAACGCAATGTCGCGGCCGAGAGCCGTGCGAGGACTGCCGCTGTTCTGGTCCTCGCCATTCAGCGCTGTGTGTGCGCTCGCCATTCGGCGCTGTCTCTAATGCGTGTCTATCGCCAATGCCGGTCGAATAACTTGCCGACTATTGTCTGTCTCAATAGTAATCATATTAATCATCGACCCGGGTGAAAGGAGCACAAGGATCGACTGCAAGTGAAGACATTTTGTCCGTTATTGAGTAAATTGAGGCCATCATTGAAAATGTATTCTCTTGACACATGAACGTGCAAGCTGGGCATATCATCGTTGTGAGCACTGATATTTCTACATCGTTAACATCAACATTGGATATAACACCATGAGAAAACCCGTATAGTACAGCTCGAATTTGCATCTTATGGTATGTATGATAATGCATACATTATTCTCAACATAAAAACTCTAATAAACGTCCAAAGTTTTTAACGTTCGCAGCATTTCCATAACCACAAAACCCAGACGTTCCTAAACATGTAAATAAATTCAAATGTTCCAAAATAACCCTACCGTAAATCGTCCGAACTAGCGCAGCCAACACCAGCCCTGGTCGACCCAAGCCCGTTTCTGAGCCCATGTGTGGTCGGTTACAATGTGGGCTGGCATGCAACCATCGATTGGCGGTACGGCCGGCACGGGCCGCCGCCGCCGCCGGCACCAGTCGACGCTGGGAGCCGGCGGCCGGGCCGGGCAGCGGCAGCCGCGCCCGCTCGTGTCATCAGGCGGGCCCACGGACGTCCGACCTCTTGCGCGCGAGCCGGGCGGCGGCAGCGGTGGTGAAACGCGTCGGTGAGCGGCCGGCCGGCGGCGGGGCGTGCGACCGGGCGCGGAAGCCCGACGGCTGCCCCCTGACCTGGGCCGCGGCTGGAGCCGGCCTGAGGCGGGTCGGCGCCGCCGCGCCGCCGCCGCTGGTGCTTGACGTCACGCTTGCAGCGCGGTGATGGGCGCAAGGACGCCCGGCCGCTCTCACGCCGGGCGCGCTGCACGGGGCCGCGCCGGCCGCGCCGCCTGACGTCGAGCGCGACCTCATGGACGGCGGCGACAGGTGCGACGCCGCGCGGACCGAGTTCGGTGTGCCGGCCTGCGTGTCGGCTACGCCAGGCTGAGGACGAGGCGCGCTGGAGCCGCCGAGAGAGAGACGAGCAGGCGCATCAGAGATTCGCCAGCGCCATGCCTATTCTTGCTTAACCCGGATGATGTAAGCCGGTCGTGTACAGTGCGGTGAGTCACACACCTGATTCTACAGTCCCAACGGACTCTGATCTTACTGTCAGGTGGCCGGCGCGAAGGCGGTGGAGCGCAGCGTCCGCTCCATCTGTGTTGTCGGTTGGTACGACGGACGCCGCGCGGCGTCGCGCTCCCGCGCCCGCGGCCGCCCAGCCCGCTGACCCGTCTCCTCGAGACCGCCGGCCGCGGCCGCTCCCGGCACACCCGCATCCCGACCGGCGGATAATCCGCGCGGCGGCGATCGTCACCGCGGCGAGCGCCGCTCGGCGGGTGGCAGTACCAGCCGGACGAGCTCCAGTCGAGCCGGCGCTGAGCGCGCGCCCAGCAGCCGCCGGACCGCCAGCCGACCAGGTGAGTCCTGCGGCACGCGCCGCGCGTGCCGCCGCTCCCACGTGTGCGGCGTGCTCACCCGTGGGAAACGCGACCTCACAAGGCGCCGTCAAACTGCGTGCGGTACGGGGGCGCGTCGGCCCGCCAGACTGCGTGCCACACGGGGGCGCGTCGGCCCGCCAGACTGCGCGCGGCACGGGGGCGCGCCGGCCCACCAGACTGCGCGCGGCACGGGGGCGCGTCGGCGGCCTTGGTGCGGCGTCGTCCGCGGCGACGGCCGCAGTGATCGCCGACGCGACGTGACCCTGTTTGCGTAATGGACGGCGCGAATCCGCCGGCGAGACGGCAGGCCGGGCCGCGAGACAAAACGCCGCGTCGCCGCGGGGTCGGGGTGACGACACGGGGCATTCAGGCGGCAAGGCGCGGCGTCCGGCGGCGGCGCCGCCGGCCCGGCCGCGCGAACGTCCGCCGACGGCCCGTGACGCTCGGCTCCTCTGAACGGGCCTCATCCGGCAGCCGGTGTGACAAGGTCGCCGGCGCGGCCTTAGCCCAGAGGGCGGAGAAGACGCCGGGCCTGGCGAGCGGGCGGTCCGACCCCGCCGTGGAGCGGGAGGTTGGCTCACGGTTTGTCGTTGGTGTTGGCGACATGGGGACTACTTACCTGGTCGGCGGTTTCTTGTGTTTAGTAACAGGCGCTTTGAGTGACTTGGGACGAACGAGGCATCAGCGGTGGTGCAAGTGGTCGATGTTCATCGTCTAGATTGGATCAAAACCTACGCAAATGGAGCCCGTCACGTTTGAGGACGCATACCGTTGACACATACCGACACACAGGCTCGATCAATGCGTTGGAAAATCTGCCTTTCATCAGAGCCGAAGAGGTTTACGGGTGAAGCATTCTAAAACTCATTTTATAAACTGCGTTATTCGAAAAGGTCGGGATATGGGTTTGGACGGACTTGGCAACTCAGGTTAACAAAATCGGTGAACACTATTTGCGAGGTCTGCTGCCTATGGTCTAAGCACTATTAAAGGCAAATGTGGTTGCTGAACATCAGTTGCAGTGACATCAGTTGCAATGACCCTTATAATGCGTATCCCAATACAAAGCGCTACACGTGCGGTATAGGTCCGATCCATTTTGTAGACCCAGTGTCTCTCGGTTCAGGCTAGTGCTGTAGTCGAGACCGGTTTCGAAGGTGACATTGATCGCTTCCCGGCCATTTGCTGACGTATGGGTTCGACAGTTTTCGATCCATTATTGTTTTGCAGTTCTTGCAATGGCCTCCCGTTTTATGTATTCGCCTCTTTCCGTTGCCGAGATTGGAGACCAGCCACTAAAACGATCCCAACACGGGCAGATCGGCGGTCGCCGTCAGGACGCGTGACTGCGATCAGCGCTTAGTATCCTGTAGATCAGTAGATAGTATCCTGGAGAAGGCTGATGGTCGGGTCGGGCCGCTCGAGCGGAAAATTTTCTCAGATTGGCTCCAGTACGACTCTCTCGGTCCGCGGACCGTCCCAGTAATGATCGGCGCGCTGGAGCCTGCAGGGCGGCATGGCGGACATCGCTACACTTCTAGGAATGCGGAGCCCCAACAAAAAACGAAACGGAACACGATGGCGCCGGTTCGTCGAATTTATCATGGGGCTAAAAAGTGCGTATTAGTCGTCGTCGTTCACCTGGGATGCACTCAGCGGCTGAGGCCATGTGGCATTGCCTAATCCTCTCACCCTGGAAGGACTGACTCCGCAGGGAGTCGAACCTCCAGTCTCCCAGACGCGAAGCGACTGCGGACATATCGTTCAGTTACTTGCAAACCTGATTGGTGGTCCGTGAACCAGTGGTTTGGAACGGTGCCTTAAGGACTTGGCTTTCCAAGCCCTGGCACGTAACCCCGGTTTCATCCTAGACAGGCGCGCAGCCAGAAGAGCTGCCTGCGGGATGACCGGATATTGCGTGACGTGGCTTTCCAGCCGTCGGGTCGCGTGTCGGGAGTAGTGCTGACGCTAGCAGCGTTACAACACCACCGGGCTCATTTATTTTCGTCAGGAGTCCCTCCCGCCGCAGGATAGCGCCATCTTATTTTCGTCCACTCACGGTCCTGCGCGCCAGTGTTGAATCAACCCGGATTCAACGGACACCCGCGGATGGACAAGGTCACTGCCGACGTGACGTCATTACGTGTGTGACATCACCTTTCCGCCAATGGTGAGCGCTTCTGCGGTGAGTTGATTGGTACTTATGCATGCCCGCCGGCCTGGCGGAAACAGGATGTAACGCTGAGGAATATAAACAAAATGGTCGTCGCTAAATGTAGCTGCGCACGAGATATCCGATTAGCATTAGCGCGGAAAGGGCAATCATCTGTCAAGGAAAAGTAGGATTGCTACGAAAACAAAGTAGACGCGCTCCCTAGTCTGAAATGATGCGACTCGCAACTGATGCACACTCGCGGTTGTGTACATCAAGTTTGTAGCAGTTAATAAAAGTTTAGTGCACAAACACCCATAAATGTCTCTTGCAAATTAATGCGGCAAACTCCCTTCAGATGTAGACGGCGCTCACAAATGATCGCAGCACATCCTCCGATTCACTGAGGACGAAGATGAACGTTTTTCGTAAAACTTGGCCATTAGGAAACAATCACGTCGTCATTTTATGGCACGTTTTGAACGCATTCCAGATGAATGATGAGCTGTAAAGTCAATTTTTGCCGGTCATGGCCGAAAGCAAAACACGTCTTGAGGATCTCTTTGTTTAGCGGTAATGATTATGAATACAGTCGGATGCAAAGCATTTTGTACATGAGAGAGGAAGAGATTATGGGTGCCCCTGACAAAATGATAGCCTGTTGCATTTGGCTATCTTTTAGCGACATCTTGCGAATGTTAAAGTCAACGTTTAACATTGGGCGTTCAACCTCTTTTTTCTTAAAAAGTTAATAGATTGCTGCCGATTGGTAACTTGTCGTCGGAATTTTGGGGTGGAAGACTGGGTGATGCAATTGGGTAGTAACAACTAGAGCGGCAAATATGTCCATATGCATTTTCATGTGATGCGATTTTACAGTTATTGCAGTCATTACAGTTATTTCAGTCATTGTTGGTCCCTCTAGGTGATTGAATTGCTGTTTGTGAGATAAAAAAAACTAGCCATGTCTTGATTCAAACAAAGAACAGCTTTTCTGACACAAACCCTACGTGGCACAATGGAGGAGGAGGAGGCAGAATGACATATTCTAAACGAGTGCTATTCTGCCTCTCTCGTTTTGCAGTTAGAGTTTCCCTAACTTCGTGGGCTGGAACATCGTTCATGGAATTAGACTTAACCACTCTTTTAAAACTGTCGTGGTTCGTTTCCGTCCGGGTGCCATTTCATGTGGTCGAATACAAATATAGTTAAATTTTCCCACATTTTCTAAACCCCAGATCCCAACGCCCTGTAAAATCTGACACGCCTACAAGGCAACTCCAACACTCATCAGTCTTTGACTACGTACCGGGAAGCGACGGCTTCGATGGGATCAATTACAGCATACCGGACCCCAGCCCGTACCGCTATGAACTTTTCGCAGCAGGAGCTACTATCCTGGAAGCAACTTTCTGACGTCAGGAAGGCAAAAATTTCCAATTCTGACCATTTAACCGGACGTGTCATCTCCCGCTTCCTCTACCGTCCGCCGGCTCGCCGTTCTTGCTTCATTTCAGCCATCGCTTTGCATAGTGGGTGGGGCAAATGGGAAACATGCTGGCTGTGATTCAACAGTTATTGCGCTGCTAGAAAAAATAATCAAGAACCTGTTTTAACGTGCGCAGGTAGCACACATTCTCACGCATATTGACTAAGGCAATAGATACTGACGTGCTTTGTTTGCTGTTTTAGAGACCTGCAAAGCGCGATGTCTTCCAATTGCCTCTCTTTCCTTTCGTTTTTCATTCGGATAACTGCTTGTTTTCCAAACGAAAAAAACAGCCTACATGATCATGACACAGGTTTGTATCATTCAAAATTAGCACGATGTACAACGTGCCTAATCAACGAAATGCATCCAAGCACCTAAATAGTGGTTGTCGAGCCAGCGGAATTTTCATTTCAACACATGGTTCCGCACAACCACTGCTCATATATGGCGTGGAATGGGATAAAAGTACATATTTCATAGTGCCTACTGAAACCTCACTTCGCCTGTGAGGGATGTTTGCCACTATTGGTCCCGTCGCCGTTTGAGGATCATTGGGGTAGCCATGCAATGTCTCAAGCCAGTCTGGTTGTCAAGCAGACAGCAACAAACGCGGACCTGTTGTCACAACTGCGGAGGCCGCCACGTGTTTCTTCTGATCTCCAGTCGCGTGAGTGTAGTTTAGCTAAACTATTTCTCGTTTTCGGGGAAAACGGACAACGGGTACACTGGTGATGCTTGTCACTTGTGCTTGTTTCGGATTCGAGTGCCCTACATCAGGTCAGAAACAAAGCTTTAAAAAGGTGAAGTAAACGAATGTTTTTTTAGGTAAACCCTCAATTATAGATGTGGAAAAGCTGTATATGTAGCGACGTATATGTTTGTGATATTAATATTTGAGACCTGTTTTATTACCACCCAAGGAACATGTGTTTAAAGAAATGGCTAATACTATCGGGGAAGCCATGGCGAACATGCACGTGGCCCTGCAGCATATACGCGCAACACCAACTTAAAAACAAAATTGTTGTCAACGGTACAAGAAAACGCAAACCTCAGGGTATTCGAATGGCTGCACATCCACAATCTTTGTGCAAAGGCAAACACACAGGCGTGGTCTTTAAAAGCAGGGGTCGCGAAGAGTGACAGACTGTTCACATTTGTGATATAGCGCTGTTCATATTTCTGATATAAAACTGTCCATATTCGTGACAAGAAACTGTTCATATCTGTGATACAAAACCGTTCATACTTGTGATCCAAAGCTGTTCATATTTATCATATCGAATTGTTCATATTTGTGACATAAAACACAATGTTCCAAGCAGCACCTCTACC